TGCAATATTTTTAAAAATATTTAATTCTATTTTGTAAACTAGACTGATATCACAGATCTTTACTGTTTTGGGAGATCACTGACCAATAGGGCCTGAGTCGAGGTGGGCAACCCTCTAGGCTATGCTTCCTTCTAAGGCCAAGGGGTAGAGGCCGGTGCTGGTGTCTCGTGGGCAAAGACGTAGCCCTCGACATACGAGGCCTGGGCGAGGCGCTTGCCCGGCTGCGGTTAGACTCGTTAGGGACAGCTCAGACCCCAGGAAGCAGCCGCCTATGAAGACAAGTTGCTGGAGGCCTCGGTCACGGCCCTGGTGTCCGAGGCTGTCCAACAGAGCGCTGAGGTCGGCGGGCGAAACGAGGCAGTCCTCGAGGACGAGGGTGTGCAGGGCGCCCCACCGCCTCTGCCCGCACACCGTGCCGCACACGGAGCGCACGGCCTCGGAGGGCTTGTCCTCCCCAGGCGGAGGCAGGCGGCGGTTCATTCGCGTGAGCGTGAGGCGGCCGAGGCGCTCGCACGTGGCGCGTGCCTGGTCCAGGAACAGCACCCCGTCCTGGTGCTCGAGGTCGACGGCGAGGTGCTGCAGGGCAGGGAGGTGCAGCCCCCCCTCCGCCCTGGTGGCGCTCGACGCCTTGAGCGCGTCCAGGCCTCGCGCGGTCAGCCGCAGGCCCTGCAGGCTGTGGCCGTGCGTGTCCACCAGGTCGGCGAGGAGTCGCGTGAGGTACGACTCGCAGCCCGCCGCGTCCAGGAGGCGCAGCGAGTGGGCCGCGTCGCGCATCTCGCCAAAGTACCAGCACGGGTCGAAGAGCGCGCGGACGCGCAGGCTGTGCAGGGCCGTGAGGGCGGCCAGCGCGGCCAGCGCCGGCGCGGGCCGCGGGTGCAGCGAGGAGGCGTCGTCCTCGACCGGCTGCACGCCGACGAGGCCCACGTCCAGGTGGCGGACTACGCCGCGGAGTGCCACCAGGATGCCGTGGAAGCAGGCGCGCGAGGCCGCGTCCGCCGCAAAGTGGCGCCAGTCGAGGGTGAGGGCGTGCAGCTGCAGCCCCGCGGCGGCCGCGTCCCGCACGGCCTGGAGCACCAGGTGCGCGCGCCGCGTCGCCTCGCGGTCCTCCGCGAACAGCGCCAGCTCGGCCAGGGCCGGCACGGCGCGCAGCACCCGGCACGCGTCCTGCTCGCGGCCCACGCGCACCAGCAGGCGCACGCGGCGCCACAGCGGCCGGCCCGCCAGCACGCGCCGCCAGCGCCGGCACACGAGCCGCCCGCTCACCACCAGGTCGAGCGCGGGCACGGACACGAGCACCTGCTCCAGGACCTCGTCGGGCAGCAGCAGCGTCCAGTCCCTGCAAGGGGGAAACGGTGCGTGAGGCATCGAGTTGGCAAACCCGCAACAATGTCGTGGGCACACTGTCATCGAGTGCGCTGTTCAGTAAACATTGTTCGTCCCCCGGTTCGCCCCCTTCCCCTACCTTGCGCCGTTTTTAAGACCCTCCCTACCGCCGCCACCACCGCCCATGACCTTAGAGTTGGCGGGAGCGCGCCTTCGAGGTATTATGATTGATCGCCAGTTCGAGGGCGCTGTCACTGCAGTGCGTCCCCCCC